CTTATGAACTAGTCCTCTCTTAGAAATAGCGAAAACCGCGACGTTTTATCTGGTTCCTGAATTTTAAAAAGGTTGGGTACTTTCATATTGGCGACATCTTTGGGTTTCTTTTCCTATCAGTAGGTTTGTACCACGGTTTCTACTTCTTAAAATCTTTCTGATTTCACAAATATTTTCTGCAGACATTCTCATGTTTAACTTGAAAAGTCTACTTGGCAAACATATTTGTTCGGCAATTCATCATCGGACGTGTATAATTGCATTAATAATCCAAATAGGAAATTAAGACAGGGTAGATAAATGTCTGGGAGTGTACAACTGTCACCAGGGGGTGTAGGCGATATGTGATCGCCGCCTGGCGCCAGTGTCGGCAACGGAAGTTAAAATGCCTATATCAGCGTCTTGTGAAAACACAGCATTAGATTCGTTAGCCGCAAATATTTACTATGGATATGATGCACTCAATTAACCATGAACTATTGAGTAAAAGCTGACTTGCCGTTATTTCATCCGAGAGAAAAGCATTTTCAACTGGAACCTGCTTGACCTTGCCAGTTGTCAATGCCGAAGATATAGCCTAGAAAATGTATCGTAAACAAAAATACTTCTATGATATAACTGAATTCAACCTTATTATTACTTCTTCCTGAGAGTCGGCAACTTCGCTTTAAAGTCTGAGGGTCGCAATATTGTTTATTACTTATCTGGAATAGCAAGCGGTTTAATTCCAGGTAAAAGCAGCGAGATTCTGCAGTTTTTAAAAGTGGTCCTACAAAACATGTTTTAATGCCTATTATTAATATGCCTGCTATGCATAAACATATAAGTTCGCCTAATTGATATGACTGAGTTAACCTTTAAAAATTCCGTTAATAAAGCTGGGATTTATATGAAGAATAAAGTAGAGGCATTTTAAAAAAAAAACAAAATGGACTGAAAAGTTAAACTTATGAATTGACAACTCACGCGGACTATTTCCCTAAGGGTGTTGCGAGCATTTTCGGTGGCAAGGATATAGTGTTTCGTTGGACATTTATCAGCAATCTGCAAGACAATGCTACAATGCAAAATTAAAACTTTGGGCATGAAACACAAAGTTAAGAAGCTGTTAAGGTTTACTTCAAAAGGCTTATAGGGTACCGCATGCCTTTAAATATAACTCTTAGTACCTACATTACAAGTGTTTTTGCAACAGATTGCTGATGATAGACATTTGCATGCATGACTTTACCGTTACTAAGTAAAATCGGCGGTTTTAATAAAAAATAATTCGCATTCAAAGTTAGTAATATAAAAAGTGCTAACAGCTCAATAAACATGATGTTTACGTTTACTCTTTTTCTGTCAGAATCCGTTGAAACTTCTCTGTATCACAATTCCCTAATGCTAACGTAACGTCTTTTTAGTGAGGCTATTCACATAATTTTGTCGGAGGGCCTCAATGAGAAAAAAATTATAGCGTAGACTGCCACATAAACATAAAAACGTCACGTATTACGTGCATATCCTTTTGACATGAGACAATAATTGTTGGAGATTATAAAATAATTTGCTAAGACGTAGTTAAGTTAAACAACACAAGGCATCTGGAAAACTCAGCTCAAATAAAATTTAATTACTGATCATATAACAAGCGGAACCTCTAATGGGTTACAAGTGCACTGACGGTCTTTTTCATCTTAACTTCTAATGAACAGTCGTTTCCGCTTTCGAGTCACTGATGACAGAAGCAGTATTACTTTTTAAAGAACCTATTGTTCTCGTGCCGTCAAAGGATTTGTATAATACTGAAAGCGTCAGACAAATGAACTTAACTCCTACAACACGAATAGCACTCTGTAAGCGTAATTGAAGCCATATGCTTAGGTTGTAAATGGTTGACGGACTGGCGGCGTCTTTACGGACAATGCGTCTACGAAAAACCAAAGGTTTGTGCCTTATTACATATGTTGATAATGACCAAAGAAAAATATGACAACAAACCGAATATAAAGGTTTATAAATGGCAAGAAGAAAAAAGGCTTAAATAAACTCGGCCAAATACGGTCAGCCGTCTTCCAACCCAAGACCCGGAGAACCTTAAATTTCAACAATGCCTTATCGGATCTAGGGGTTTACACCTAATTCACTTTAGTCAATGTAATAAGTCATACATAAGAATGGTTTCAACCAGTTTGTCTTGATTGCAAGAATACATAAAGGCATAAGGGTTTGTTTAACATCTGTTCTATGGTACATTTTAATGTGGATATTAGATTTGTTATATTAAAAACAAGCTCTGCTGTCAAATAAATGCAACTCTTAAATTTTTATTTCTCCTTTTATTCCCACACCTACATTAGTTACTAATTATTCGAATGGGAAAACATGCAAAGAATATAAATTGGACATTCAAGATAAAACAAAACACCCGTAGTCGGGATTTCACTAAACTGCAGTCTCTTTTGCATCTAGTAGCATTAAAATGTGAAAGGCAAAGTCGAGATGTCATACTGCATAATTGTCCTTGTAAGAAACACTTGCGCAATGATCTCTTTTGAGTATACCAAGTAAGCACAGCGAGAAATTTTAGTTTTGCCTAACATTGTAGAAATAATTTACCTATTCCTTTAAACCTGCTACAACAGAGATAAGCCTAACAACAGAATTGCAGAGGTAAAAAGAAACTAAAACACCAGTGCCCAGAAAGTCAACCAAACGGGCCGAGTACATGAGGGTGTAAGACAGAATATTGTGAAAAAGATGTCGCAGCGACTCACCTTGCAAGGTCCTTTACGTGGATCGTTGGGATTATGTTATCTCCGGGTCCAAAAACTTCGAGCAGTGGCGCGTTCAACCATCCAGCCTTATTCACACGAACATATTAATTGGTTATTGGAAGATGCAAAAGAGTATTGTAATTTTATGTGATGATATAATTAGATAAAACGCATATAATTTTCTTGGAGAACACCTTAATAAATTTACATTAATGACTTGCATAATGCGTAAATGAAGCACTAAATGAGCTGCGTTTAAATATTACTAACCATCCGAAATATATATATAGACAAGATATTGTGATGCAGTGGGAAAAAATGAAATACCTTGAAAAATGGATGAAATATGTCTTCTTCTTCGCCGTATGTCACACCAGATGCAACTATATACGTAAGAAATTTGAATTTATTCTAGAACTGTTATTTATTTAATCCATGGATGAAACTTACCGTAGTTCCAAGCCTTTTGATCTCTTTTTCAGCAGCCAAATGTGCTAAGTAATTTGGATGGGCCAGCCTCCGGCGGTAATCCTCATCGGTAAATGGTGCCTCTGGATCATCCTTGAATTAAATATTTACCATGTTTATTAATATGGAGTACGTTTGGCAGTGGTTTTGTTGCCACCCATGTCAAAACAGTAGATATTAAGACAAATATTTTTCGTTTCTGAAAAGTATCCATTTCATCGTGCAGCTTGTTTGCGACCCAAAGAGCTTCTTCGACTTGTCTGTCATCATCGACGATGTTGTATACAAATAGTTCGCATTCTTTGATTTTACTGTACAATTGAACCCAATTTTCATCCTGCTTGGTATTAGCAAAATAAGCATAAAGCTACCTCTAAGAGTGTAGCCGGAAAGTTTGTTTTGTTTTTCCCGTTGGTGGTCGTACAGAACAGATTATTAGCAAAACCCTCGGGAGCTTTGGATTTTCCACCATCCTCATCCATTTCCTCCTCCTCTTCTTCCTTTCCTTTCGACTTTTTAACCCCAAATACAGCATTTGATAGAGCCTAAAGCATAAGCATACAATGAGAATTTAAAACCTTGGCAATATGCGACGATATAAACGTATCAGCCTGGTTTATAAAAATGCCCTTAGGAATAAGAACTGGCATGGCTGGTGTCCCCATGGCAACGTGTATTTGAATAATACATGTTGTAAGGTCACCAGTTATGGCCCACGTTTTAATAAGTAAAAGCTCTACAATATTCGCATTTCTAAATAAATTATAGCTTTTAGACTGAAAAAGAGGTAAAGCCATGTGAAAATGTGCACCATTACGTTACACATACATCACTGATTATGAAAGAACCCACTGAATGTGCTGTAGCTGTGCACAGAGGAATGCCGGGAATTTTGTCGTAATTATAATGAAGACCGAAAAAAGCGAGCACAACATGGAAATCACCAATGTAAAGATAGTTAAAAATAATGAAATTTCATTTGAATCAGCGAGTAGTAACCAGGACAAAGATGGGTACTCGACTGATACAGACGCTCAAGGTGACAACACCAATCAGTCAATAAAGCCTAGTGTTCTGAGTGAAGAACCCACGGTTAATGAAGCAAATCGTGAAGCGGAACAGGACTATAAAAATGACGTTAGAGCTGATGCAGTAAGGTCGATATCTGTGATTAACACAACCAGAAAGTTGGTTGGCGTGAAAATGCGATCCTTGTACCCAAGTACCCAGAGCCTTGTATTAAAACTCAAAGAATTAAATTTAAAAATGTATACTTAGGGCCCAAGGGAACTTTCATTAAACCCCTGCCAGCAGTACTTTCTTATGACGCCACCTAATGGTATAAAGAATTGCCTTAGTAGTTTTCTTGGTCTGTAGGGTTCATTTATTTACCAATAGGAATTGCTCTTACGTATATTTTAGTCTGCAGGCTTTGTTTTCAGTCTTTCTTGCCCCTTCTCAACCATTTCACTCAATGCACCCACCCCTTTACCAGGATTTCCGTTGAAAAAAAAAATTGGCGGGAGTTTTTTTCCCGCGGTCTCACAAGAAAGCCGCACCACTCTGCCTTATCGGAATGTCTCCGGACTCTCAGTACGCCAAATAAGGCTGGCCGGTTATATGTAAGATAGCGAACTAGCATTATGTCGATATGAAATATATAGAAGAGATCGGGAGAACCTGTAGTGTCGCGAGGTAATTGTTTATGCAATAGACGGCCTAATGCTGTCCGATAAAACAACTAAAGCTGCATGCAATATAAAAGCTAGATGGTTGACTATCAAGTGCTTTTGTTTCCATGTCTTGATGACCTCACGGTCTTTCGGCCACCTTTGGCGGGCCGAAACGCACCTTTTTGAAAAAGGAAGTATGATAAGGTGGACATAAGGTGATGATCATTATCGAGTTCAATGCAAGAAAC